GTTCAAGCCCCACCTCTGGTTCTGTGCTGACAGCTCAGACAGAGCCTGGAGCCTGCTTCGGATTCAGTGTCTCCCTTCTCTCTGCCCACCCTCCCCCCCCAAACGCCGCTTGCACTCTGTCTCTCTCTTTCAAAAAATAAAATAAAACATTAAAAAAATTAAAAGAAAAAAAGGCTGAGGACCTCAAAGAGCTTTTGTTTGCATAGATTGTATCCACTGATATTTGCCACATTAGAAATTAAAACAAAATTTATATTTATTTTGTTCATTTTAAAACAATTTAAAAAATATTACATGCTAACATAAACACACTGTTATAAAAAAGAATTATATTTTTAGAGTTTAGTGACAGAATACAAATCTCCTTAATGCATGGCTTAATAGGAGACAGCTGGATTCTCATGTCAACTTCTGCTTTTAATCTGTTGTGATAATACGTATCATGCAGCCGCTGGAAAACTCTACTGTACATTCTTAAGAGAATGAGGGTAAAAAGGGCAAGTAACATTTTAGTATTAATATGAAAATAGTTTTGACCTCACGGACCCCCTGAAAAGTTCTTGGGAACTTCCCAGGGATCCCTAGACCACAGCTTGAGAATCATTGAATCAAAATATAATAATGCCATCTTCTATCCCATTACTTTAAAGACAAGGTGGAATTGGGGCTCAAAGAGCTTCATGTCCCTGAAAAGTTCATATACTAAACAGTGGATGGCAAAGCTCCCGCTCTGCTGACCTGCAATGTGACAACTCTTCAAAACACAGCTCTGATCTTGCCCTCTCACTCTTTAATGTAACATGTAGACCACTTCATCCATTAATAGCATATGACAATAGCTAACATTTACTGAACATTTACTATGTATTAAGCCTTGTTCTAAGCCTGTTACATGTATCAATTAAGCAAATCCTCACAACAAATACTATTATTGTCCCTATTTTACAGGAGAAACTGAGTGACAATAAAGTTAAATAAGTTCCTTCAAGGTCACCATGCTTTAAAGAAAGAGCCAGGATTCAAACCCTGGAAGCCCAGCTCTTAACCATCATGCTTTGCCACAACTTAAGTGTCACACAGGCAAAGGAGGTTTATTTTGGGGCGCCTGGGTGGCTCAGTTGGTTAAGCGTCCGGCTTCGGCTCAGGTCATGATCTCACGGTTCATGAGTTCGAGCCCCGCTTCGGGCTCTGTGCCGACAGCCCAGAGCCTGGAGCCTGCTTCGGATTCTGTTTCTCTCTCTCTCTCTGCTCCTCCCCTGCTATCGCTCTGTCTCTCTCTCTTTCTCAAACATAAATAAACATTAAAAAATAAAAATAAAAAAGGAGGTTTATTTTACTCACAGACGCAGAGCTTCAATGGGACCTTACTTCTTGGAACTCATGGAGGAGATGGGAGTAATAATGAAGTCAGAACCAGGACACTGGGGTGCCAATCATGCAGCAAGCTATGGGGCCTGGGGAGCCAGTAGGGGATGCTTTGGCTGAGGTTGTGAGTAGATGGGGATGGAGGAAGTAGAATGGAAAAGCACCGTGCCCCATCTGGTCTGCACTCCAGGTGAGTGTGAGCGTGTGTGTGTGTGTGTGCGCGCGCCCACGTGCAGGCATGTGCAAGCAGAAAGGTGGGGCAGTGCTGCAGAGAAAGTTACTGTGTGGATTTGAGGTTTACACAGGTGACAGCAGTTGCCTGTCCTCTTTTTCTCCTTCCCTGGAATGCTGAGCAGTTAGCTTGGCAAGGGCCCTCCACAGCATAGTGCCCCGACATGCTGCTGCACACGGACGTGCCACCTCCAGCTGCCTACACTCTCTGGTCCCACAGCTGGCTTGGGAGTACCCGAGTGCTCACCGAAGTCTGAAAACCTGTCTGCCCCTGCAAGGGGGCTACCAGAGCCTTTCACCTGCTGCTGCTCACAGTCCAGCACACCGTGGTGTAGCTTGCACTGTTAGTATTTTCTATTAACAGATTCTGTTTCTAGAACAGCTTTAGAGTTTCAGAAAAATTGAGCAAACAGATCCCACATACCTTTCCTCCCACCAAACAGTTTCATTTATTATTAACATCATACATTACTATAGTACATTTGTTTTTATTACAATTAATTAACCAATATTGATGTGTTAACTAAAGCCCCTTAGGATTTATTTCTCTCTGTTGATTTAAAATAAAATTGTATTCTTTTGTTGCTTTTCATCTCATTTTTTATAGCAATAAAAAACATATAGCAATAGCTCTTATTCATAAACTGGGACATTATACTTCGATGTACTTACAAAGGAATCCCCTCTGTCCCTTTGTGGGACTGAAGGAATGAATTTATCTAATGACGACCATAATCCAAGCACTATTTCGTGTGAATTCAGTTAGAAAGGGAATTTAAACTTTTGCCTTAAACCACAAATCACTCCTACTCAAGACCAACCAAGCCTGTGATTAGTAAGCAGTGTAAACAAAGATGCTTAGGGCTCTGAATCCCTTCTTTGATGTGGTGACAGCCTTTCTAGGGCAGGATGCTGGCATGTACCACATGGTGTGTCCACATCTGCCAAGTTCCTAAATCCAAGTTCCCCCTGTCAGGCTGACCAGAATAAGCCATGGATAAGAAAAGTTCAGATAAAGATAAATATATTCAATTCCTCCTGCCAACCATTCTCCTTGCTTCTCTGAGACATTTCACACTGGTGGCCAAGTTCTCTTTCATGAGGTTCTCTCCTCCCCTGCCTTCTGTGACTCTATCCCAGCCCAGGGAACCTGCCACCACTCTAACCACTTCTGCTTCTTTGCTGGTTCCTCTTCCTCATGCCTTCTCCCACCCCTCCCCCCACATGTTGATGTTTGGACTTTTGGCCTCTGGATTTCTCCTGCTTTCCTCACATCCTCTCTTCAGTAAGAATAAAAAATGGGCAACTTGAGGGGCACCTGGGTGGCTCAGTTGGTTAAGTGTCCAACTCTTGATCTTGCGAGGCTCAGGTCATGATCTCATGATTTGTTGAGATCAAGCCCTGCTTCAAGCTCTGTGCCAACAACGTGGAGCCTGTTTGGGATTCTGTCTCCTGTCTCTCTGCCCCTCTCCTGCTCATGCTGGCACACACATGCTCCCTCCCTCCCCCACCCTCTCTCAAAATAAATAAACTTAAAAATTTTTAATAATAAAAAAATAGGCAACTTGTAAATAGAAAATTTCCAAATCTCTATGACCAGCCCCAATCTCTCAAGCAAAACTTCCTCTGTCTGCCATGTATTTGAGGCAGATATGTTGTTCTTAAAAATGTGACAGCAAAGTCAAACCATCTGGCTTCAAACCCTGGCTCTACAACCTCCTAGCTCTATGACCTTGAATTTGACTAACCTATCTGTAACTCAGTTTCCTCATCTGTCAAGTGCGAATAGTAACGATATTTATCTCATGGAGTTATCAGAAGAATTAAATGAAATAATTAGGTAAAGACATGAGAATGGTACCTGGCACATAGTAAGTGCTCAATAAATGAAAACACAGGTCCCATTAGCCTTTAGCCAAAATTCTTGGGGCGAAAAGGGTTTCAGAATGCGTTTTTTTA